ATATGCACTGCATAAACTAGTTGTAGATGAGCTACTATGTGATAGACGAGCGAGAAAAGTCGTGTGCGAGCGATAAATGTAGAATTTAAATAAAAGAACAAGAAGAAGTCTAATGTGTGTTGGCGCTAGAGATGGCCATTTACGATTACCCTGCCAAGGAATTGTGTCTCCTTGTTCTCAGAAATGATTCCCGTCTCCATACTTTCTATGCTAACAGAAAGGAGGCAAAATACCGAGCATAAACTGATGATTCAAAATAATTTACAAACATTTTGGGTGTGAGTGTCTGGGATCCAGATTCGCTGAAACGTGTGCAAAAGGAGCTTGATCCCTAACTCTTTCAAAATAAATTCACTGATATTGAAAGTCTGCAGCAACTGAGAGAGAAGTTATCTTCAATACATTTCCATGCAACATAATCTCGAACAATTGAATTGGATAGACTTTAGTCACTATAGCAATGATTTCAAAATGAAATATCGAAAACTTCCCAAAAGTGTACACCTCCGTATAGTGGACACTTGAAAAAGATCCATCGGGTGTCCACTATAGAAAGATTATACTGTAGTTATGAGGAAAGATTTTGTGATCATACAGAATTTCTTTTTTCCGAAAATCATTTATAATAAAAGTAAATTTGTGCCTTCATGAAGGAGTATTTCTTAAACAACTATGATTTTTTTTTAAAAGTAATAACATTGTTGCATGCTACAATGTCTCTCAAAATTATTCGATCGGGTTTATTATCAAACTTTTTCAGCTATTTTAAACGGCAATAAGAATCCAAGTAGTGCTTTGCGTAGAGAATGTTATTTTCAATAGAAATTTTTGAAGATGAAAATGATTTTTAGTTTCCTCAAGTCTTGAATCTCTGAAAAACCAAATTATCTAGTTCGTGGAACTCATAAATAAAATTCTGTTTGAATTATTGAGAATGATAGAACAAATAATTGTACATAAAATGTAATAACATCTTCTAGCTCTTGACAACCTTTTTATGACCGAGGTACATGAAGCCTACGAAAGGCACAAAAGTGATGTTTCCATGCGAAATAATAGAAAAACTACTTTTGCACCTTCTGTAGGATTGATTTATCTCGGTGAAAAAACCAACATACAGAGCTGTAAGATGTTACATTTTGTACGCTATTGTTTGTTCTATCATTATGAGTAATTTAAACTGAATTCTATTTGCGAATTTCAGGAGCTAAAAAAGCTTAGGTTTTGGTTTTTTTAAGACTCTATCCATAGGAAACGAACAATCATTTTCATCTTCGAACACTCTTGTGTGATGATCAGTTATTCAAAATTGATGGAAAAAAATTTTATTTCGGAAAAGAAACACACTATCTGACCGAAACACACATATTAATTTGACAATAGAGAAAAACCTCGTTCAACTACGTATAATGTATTTATTTTCCTCTACCTTTCATTACTTGTGTAAGTCTTATACGAATTTTTTTTGTGAATGAAAGCTAGAATATTGGTTTCCTCGGTTTTTTTTCTATAATATTCTCCATAAACTTAACAGAGATCTCAATCGACTGGGCTGACTTTCCTTGATCCAATCTCATCTATTCGGATCTCTAATACTTAATACTCAAGAATAACTTTCGTCGAATTTCGAACTTAGGAGAAGCAAAGATCAGAGTATTTGAAAATAACAGTGAGAGGTGTAAGGACCAAAATATGATGGAAGTTATTTTTTGGAATATTGAGTGTACTATTCGATGTAAAGTGTTGCGCTGACTCTGAATATGATATTTGTTTCTTTTGAAACTGAAGCTTTGATAATCAAAATTGTTGAATATAAACCCATATTTATGATTTTTTTTTGTTATCATGTCAGAAAAATCGATTTTCTCAACAATCAAACAATATTTTTCAAAAAGTGTCCATAATTTTTTTCCCTAACCATATGACAAGTAAAAACAAATATTGAGACTATCAAGACTTTATGTTTTTAGCGTATTTCAATTCTGATTTTTTTAATCTATGCTTCACTACAAAAGCATCGTTTGAATATATTAAAACCAATATTTCTATACGTAATTTGACTGGTCGACGCCTTAATTATTACTACAAATTAGAAACGTCTAATTTGATTTCTTTTTATGATCATTTTTCTCCACATATACAGCGTTTAGTTTCATAAAAGTAAATGAATCAAACATTTACATAATCGTAATCTCTTGATTTAGTCAACCATTTCTTTGTTCTTGAAATTCCATTCGTCTTTTAACTTTATTATTAATTCTGCTATTTGACATGAATTCACTAGAGATTATATATTATTAAGTAAAATAAATAGTATAATTGACAAAAACGTCCTCGAGTTATAACCTTGAGAAAGTTGTTTTTTTGTTGAACAATTATCAGTAGGTTTACTAAACATCACTTTTATAGAACATCGTAAATGATTCAACGAGTATACATGCATCGACTGTGACAAAAGTTTTGCGATATTTTTTTGTTTTGTATGTCACTTTGTTCAAGAACACGATAAAACTTTGATCTTTTTTTTTCGAAAGATGCACCATTGAATATTCTATTCGGATCGTAAGATCAAATCTTTCTAGCTATTTTCGAAATTTTAATAGACTACTAACACTGAACACGTATCTCATCGTGTTATTTTCTTCAATGAAAAATTGGAATAGTCTATTTAGTGATTGATTGACAGCTAACTTCATTTTTAATCAAATCAATGTTATATAATGTGAATCGTCTTAGGCACTCTAAATAGTCAAAACGTTCATCACTTTACTGATTTCTTCTCAACGTATTTTCATCATCTTTAATTGAAGCCAAGTTCTCATAATATTATTTTGTTAAGCTTAATTCTTTTTTACTATTTATCTCAATAGTCGAAGAAGTTTAATCTAGAGATATGTGGATCGATGTATTTGAGAGCAACAAAGCAAAAATAACAACGTTTTATTTCAGGGTGAAGCATCCAGATCAATTGACACGGGCGTTATTTTTCATTTGTATTTGAGATAAGGATAGGTAATATTCCTCATGTTTTGAAGGTCATACTAGCTCTCGGATTGATTTCAAACATTATAGCCACAATATGAACAAACAAATAATTATCAAAAGCAAAATTCAATAATTTTTGCCTTTCTCTTATTTTTTTTTCTCGTAGAAAATAACACGACGATACACTTGTTCAGCGTTAATAGTCTATTAAAATTTTTAAAATAGCTATAGAGATTTGGTCTTGTAATCCAAGTAGAAAATTCAATGGTGCATCTTTTGAAAGAAAATATTAATGTTTTATCATGTTCTTGAACAGAGTTACATGCAAAACTTTTGCCACACCCAGTATTAGTAAAAAGTGAAGTTAACATCGATGACACATAAAATATTTTATAAGTTAGTTTACAATTTGATGTTAAGAATAATAATGAAAATAAAAGTTATGATCTATCATTATTAGACAATAAAATATATGCAAATATCTTAGCATTACTATTGAAAGTAATCGTTATACATTTTCTCTTCAATTTTACATAACGTCAATTAATGAATCAACAAGTATTATCGAATAGGCACATTAAAAAAATGTCAAATAGAGACAAAAGAACAATCTGTTGTTACTTTCTCTACTCACAACTCATTGTGAAGATTTCGCAACATCTGAAATAATAAATTTATATATATATATACGTATATTTTTTACGATAGTGCAACAAGTGCGACAAGAACGATTTGATAGACAATATAAAAACAACTGACTACTGTTCGTAATGATGCTTTCGATGACGAATTATTACCACGTAATTGTGATATTAAACGACGTGATTTACTACCACTAGGATCTAGATAAACAATAAAAATAAATACATATTATCATGAAAATAAAAAAACAATAACTTACATTGATTGACAATAACTTGAGCTGTTGCTATTAACATTTGTCCATATCGACATGTATAAATACCAGTATCATTTCGACTTGCATGTTTTATTAATAATGTTTCATATAAAATACCATCAACTGATACATCATTTGAAATATATTCAGTTAGATTATCTAATAAATAATTATCACGTGTCCATTCAACATGTAAATTTACTTCATTAGGATTCTTCATTGAATGTATACGACACATAAGATGAATTGGTTCATCAATAGTAACACAAATACGATTTGGTACAATATCAATGCATGTATTAGCTAAAGAAAAAAAAAATTATTTATACAAATAAATTTTGCTTTATTTTCTTTCTAATAAAATGAAAATTCATACAAAGAATTGTTAAATTATAACTTATTTGAATTCCATTTTCTGATTTACATAAATAATAACCTTCATCATCTTTTCTTACATCAGCTATTTCTAAATAATGATCATTATTTTGTGTACGTGGTATAAAACGTTGATCATCAATTAATTGACGATCACCAAGTATTAATGGTTGAGGATATGCATTCTCATATAAACGAAACCATATAATCGGTACCTTGATATTTAAAATGAAAGAGAAAGAAAAACCCTAATTAATATATAATAAGTTCATCATACTATTGATAAAGAATTATTTTCAATTTCAGTTTGACAAGAAAGTTGAATTGTGTCACCACAATTAGCAATAATTACTCGGGCATCAGGATAGTGAGCATGAAAATTCGTCAGATAATACATTGAATATGTGATGTTAATAATAAATAGCAATATCAAAAATACTAAATTTTTATTTAAATTAAGAGAAAATTATAAAGATTGTTGAAATTCTTACCTTTCAATGGGAACATTTTATTTGATCCATGTTTTATTAAATATTGTCATGCCTTTCGTCATTGTGATTCATAATAGTCTCCCATTGACGTATCTACAAAAAAACACACAATCTCGATTACTGATTATTCATTTCTTTTTTTTCTTTGTTTCTTTCGTTCGGCTTTACGTTTTTTCTTCTCATTTGTTGAATATAAAAGCAACATACATATATATTAACTCTCGTTATTTTTTATTGCAAGCAAACAAAACATGGCTGACAACATGAAATTAAGCGATGATAAACGAAAAGAATTTGATGAATATTACAAAAAAAATCGAGACAAACTTCCTGCTTGTCCTACATGTCAAACAAATAATGATGTTATTCCAACTGCTCGTGGTAAACCATCAACAGAATTATTATTATATGCTGAAGAAGGCAATGTAAAATTATCTGGTTGTACGCAAAGTTATAATGGATGGTGCAAAAAATGTGAAAAATTCATTTAAAAAAATATTTTTCGGGATAAAAGTCAACAAGAATATTTTCTGTTTTTTTCCTATTCTAATAAAAAAAAAGGAGCTGCGTGCAGCATAACTCAATTTAAATAAATAATTCTTATTTTACCGCTTATTCATTGTGTTCGATAACAAAGAGTTTGGTTCTTTTTTTTTTGCTTCTTAAGAAAAAAAAATGAGATGAGAGTCGGTTTTCTTTTAAAAACCTTGTAATGTGTCAAAGAATGAAAAAACCTTCCGAAAAGTACTTCAATAGCTACTACATACTGTATAAACATTAAGTTTGCTTGTCTTTTTTTTGTCTTTTGACTACTCTATCTTGCAAGACATTAACGTGGCGGAAGTCTACTTCTTTCTATCATTCTTAGTTTGTCATCGTCATACACCACTCTTCAATGTCTTATCATGTGAAAAGTATCGACTCTCTTTGAACTGTCTGTGCATACATTGCATGCCAATAACTCATTGACACTTATCGTCATCATCGTCGTCGACCAGTGGCTACTATTTACATTGAACTACTTGAAACAATACATATTAAAAGTTATTTGCGGATGTTTGACAATATGATTCTTTTGCAATTGAGTAAACGATTAACTTTAAATATTCTGTATATATTTGATTCATCAACTAGAATAGGATTGACTTCAAAGAAAATATTGTTGTTTTATGATAATTAATGATTGAATAAAACAAATCGATAACAGTACTTTTTACCGACAAAAAAAAAATCTTAACACTAGACGATGTTTTTCTCTCTATATATCAAAACTAAATAAAAAAAACAAACAGTTTAAAGCAAGGCTGATATAGATTTTGACCTATTTAGAATTTATCTATAATCGCTCACCTCGTACATAAATGATAAAGTATATACATATATATATATATCTATTATAGAAGCTCATGTGTCCATCAAGTAACGCTTCGATGAATATCAATTTGTCAAAATTAAATTTATAACAATAATTATTTTTCGATATTTGTCTTTAATATTCTTGTCATATGCATTCATAATTTTTGAGATATTTATCTGTATACTTTTTATTTGATCATTCTCATAGTAATACAATCATACGATGTAGTCTATATAATATGAATAGCTGATTACAGGCTTCTGTTATATTTCTGTGAGTAAATAAATTATAAATGAAATAATACAAATTCAATATAGAACATAATATCATAAAACATATCTTTAAAGTAAATCTCTAGCATCAAGATGTGCACAATGTTAGACATGCGTGTCAAACTATCATATACGATTAGTTGATGTTTACGTAGTTAAGATGCGTGATCAAAACAATTTATACATTGATCTCGAAGATAGAAGAAAGAAAGCGTGAGAAGCAGGAGGTCATCAATAAATGTTGATAAACGTCAAAAGCATTCGATTGATGACGACGATGACAATAGTTAATCTAATGAAAATGATCAATATTTTCTTGATTTTGTCCTACAATCAATGTCATTAGCAGTATACATCAAAGACTTTAACTCGATGAATGCAACTCCTCCTTCAACAACAATGTCATACGAATGGTCAAAACAAAAAAAGAACCAAACGAGAGGTCTGTTCATCATGAACAATTATTTATATTAAAGTTTATCTAACGAAGCTAGTTTAGAAAATGTTTGTAATGCAAAAGTTTCTAGTCAGACTATGTCAATAAAGAACAAGAAGTAATTTCCATGTCTATAAATCTATCAAGATAGAAAACTACAAAACTTATCAAGATGAAAATCAATAATAGTAATGCTTATCACAATTCAGAAAAACAATATACATGAGACTTAGTTAAGAGTGATTGAATTCAAGAGCTTACACACATACAAATTCATATAAGAATAAAAAGATTATGTTATACACGGATGAATATTAGAGAAAAATGTTTGATAAATGAATACATATCAAACGATCATACCAAGTAGATCACAATTTGACAAGAAAAGAATTATGAAGAAACTTGACATGTATAGTCATAAATATAATCAAACTATTTCTATCTCACTCATTTCATCTGATCAACATGACCTTATATCAATAATTAAATCATAAGAAAAGAATTACATCACATTGTGTTTGCAGTCCATTAAACAAATCAGTAACTCGTATTGTCCTATATGTATATGTACTAGAGCGTCTGTATTGGGTTATAGAACAGTTAGTCAGTCAAAGAGTGCCATTGCCATTGCCATTACTATATGTCGATCGATCCTTTTCCTTCTCCTAGACATCAATCGTTCTACTTGACTTGTGTTTACACATATATTGTACCCTTTCTCATTCTCTTGAATTACTCCTCCTGTTGAGAATGAGCGGACCACCCGGTCCGTCTCGTAAATAGTCAATTTCCCTATACACAATGAGTACTCACCTCTTCAATGTGTTTTATACATAAGTGTCAGAAAAAAAAAAAAGACGTTGAAAAATGTTTAGGTGAAGTGTTACTTGCTTATATACTACACTGACCATCTGTCTTCACAGCATACACACAAACAGGTAATTTATATCGATGTAAGTTAGTCGGTCGACAGAGCGGCGGTTTTTTTTTTGTTCTTTCTCTTGTTTAGTTCTATTATCGCATGGATGTCAGTGATTGTTGGCACCAAGAGAGGCCAATGGGCAATTGTTTTTTGACTAGGTCAATTAATCAACTATAACGTCTTTATGTTTCTTAACTGTTCCTAACTTCTTTTTTGTTTGAAGTATAAGTGTTATACATATCTAAGTAGCACATTGGAACGAACATGCGCGAAGAGAGAGAGTCATTAATCAATAATTAGATTCGTCTGTCGATAGTATACTTTTTCAAAACAAGACCTACCTAGCTAGGTTGTCTTAGCTGTGTTGAAAGGTCATCTGTATTATAATAATAATAATAATGATGATGATGATGATGATGGCGCAGTGTGTGGCTGTTCTAGTGAATGAATGAACACCGCATTGATTATGAGACGAAGAGAGAACGAGAGAAGAAAAAAAGAGAACATAGCTCAATCATGAATGCATTGTTATTAGAGAGAAAATGAACAAAAAAAGATGAATGATCATTATCGTTCATCAGAAGCTTGAAAATTATTCAATCATTGAAAAGAGAATAAAAACAACAAGAGTATTAACTTAACCAAAGCATTGACCTTGTATCATGAATCATATCCACACGCATAGTTTATTGATTTATAAAAAAGATAGAATTGTTGACATGCATTAAACTATAAAACATTTATCATAGTACCATTGACAAGGATAATTTCAAGGATACAACAAAATCAAATATAATTTCAAATAATAATATAAGCTATAGGAAAATCTTTTATGCATGACATTACTATAAAAATAAATGAATGAATATAAAGCTTATAGACAAGTAAAGTATCTAGTAATGCTTTAGGCGCAAACGTAATACACTGGGAAATTAATGTTTGCTTTTTTTTTTACTCTTTTACATTTAATCATTTAGCACAATGAAGAGGTTATAAAATAATATTTCCTTTGTCTTTTATTCAAATCTTTTTATTAAATTGGATAAGTATGTTTTCAAAACACTCTTATGATGACTATTGTTTTAAAATAATATTAATAACAATATTGATAAATTCAAGTCTGATTGTTTTTTTTTTGTTAATAAAAAATAACTATGATTAAGGTTATAATTTTCTGAAGAAGTAGCTTGTCATGTAGCATGTTTAACATTGATAGAAAGATAACTTTCTTGAGTAAATATAGTTCTAGGAAATGATCTTGAAATATAAAATAAATAGATCATGTTTAGAAAAGATCAGTTTACATATCACATATTACTTTACTTTGCTTATTATTTATCATTCTATTTAATCTTCATTGAATATTGAATTAAGAAATTTCTATATATTTAATGAGAGTTGCGCATTCATGTACGTGAATATAATACAATATCTGTTTGATTATCACTGTTAAAATCATGATAATATTTTATTTTTATTTTTTAATAATGTTTGATCCTTCTATACGAAAAGCTTGTATAAACATGCAATCTCATTCATTTTGAGGATTAGTTAATATCCTGTCACCAAATTTATTGGCCTCGATTTTGTATATGAATATGTTGTTGACATAAATTCTATAGAGGTTTTTGATAAGATTGAAATCTGTTAATGTTGTTTATTGTAGAACTCTATCGAAATAGTTCTGATTTTTTCATCAAATTTATAAGAAATTTTCATTTTTTTACAGCATAAAACAAATGTCTATCTTGTTTTAAAACATATTCGTTATTATGTATCTTGAATTGTGCAAAAAGAAAAGGTTAATCTTGTCTACAATCAAGATAAAGACTTAGTTAATTTGTTCGTAAAAACAGAATGACATATCAGACATATGGAAATTTGAATATGAGTGACATCACGCAATCGAAATTCATCTATTTCCGATGAGATGAAGGCTAAATGTTGACAAAGAATAAGAAATTTTCTTTGGTGAAAAATTTCGTAACACCATCAACGATAAATCTCAGTCAAAATCTATTGCTAAGATTTGTCTACTACTAACGTCATTTATAATGTTCTTTTATTATAAATTCACTCATGATGAAAAAAGATAAATGAGATTTGTCATTGTGTTCATTTAAGAGAATAATTTGAACTTTGTCAGTGATTTATGTTACGTAAATGATATTTATAAAAAAAAAAAAAAGACTATGACTTCATCTTGTAATCTGAATAATTGCTTGTTACAAGAACAATTTAGACTTGTATTTATACTTGAGGAATCGAAGTAATACAACAAAGGAAGCATAATTTTTTGTCAGTAAAATAAATATACAAATAATTAATATAAATATTGAATAGTCAGTTAAAAATGTAGATTTTATTAGTAGAAGAAATAAATTTTATTCGTATAAAAATTAATTAATTACAGAAAAACCAATAAGAAATCCGAAAAAATATTAAATAGAAATTTAAAGACCAAATGAAAATTCAATTATTGTACTATCAAAACAGGTTTAGTC